GGCCCAAAATCTTGGGTAGCCATGAGATGGCCTGCATATATCTCCCAGCATGCATTGATTCTTTCTGATAAGGGAGGAAGATGAAAGCATTGCCAAAGGAATAAGAGTCTGGGAGGAGACAAAAATAGTTTCGTGAATCTGATCCTTTTTCTCAGAAAGTTCTGTATGTGTATCTTTTCCAAAGCTTTCTTAGGCAAGGACTTCTCTAGAGGTCCTACCAAACATGCCTGAAAGCTTTCAGCTGTGATATTTTTCAAGGTAAAGCATTTGTATGAGATTTGGTGGATCACACTGAGATATAGGACCCTACTGGACTGCTTCTGTACCTTCACACCAGCATATGTGAAATAGCTGGGAAAGTGGGAAACTGCTCATCCATCCCAAGAGCTCTGTCAGATTTCACAAATGTTCCAGATTTTCTCTGGGAGGAAACTCAGCCTGTTCAAAGATCACACTTATATTTTCTTTCACTGAAATGCAAGAAACTAGAACAGTGTGAACCCTCCCTCAATGGCAGAATAAGTCCAACTCTTCTCCAAGGCAAGGAGAGAAGAAGGGACAAAAGTTTTCCTGCAACCTACATCAAAATTGAGGCAGTTGAGGAAAAAAAAGGAGGAGACATTTGCATGGGAGAGCAAAGCATCTCAGCCCATGACAATGTGATCCCCTTGCAGGAGCATCTCAGGCATGATTCAGCCATAAACTAATCCCCACAGGGAAATCATAGGGCACGTCTTTGTACATACTCACTTTTTTTTTTTTGCCTGCAAAGTAACTGGCCATAGTTCTGCTTCTGCACAGTGTCCTCTTCACCCCTCAAAGAGCAAAGGGCCAGATGAGGTACAGACCATGTGTTGTCCCTACTGGGGCCACATGAAGATGCTCTACTGAGGAGTCCCTTCCCACCCTGGGTACAAGCCCTCTGTCATGGGACTGGCCTCCTGCAGAACACGCCTGCTCTCCCCCAAGCAAACCAGAGCTCCCCTTTCCTCCTTGTCTCCTGTATTGCGTCGGGCTGAGATGGAGTTAACTTTCCCCATAGCAGCCCTCATACTGCTGTGCTTTCTATTGGTATGTTGAGGTGTTGATAACCCACCAGTGTTTTGGCTACTGCTGAGCAGTGCTCACATCAAGGCTGTGTTTCCAACATCCCCCCCTGCCCCAGTGGGCTGGGGATAGGCAAGATTTTGGGAGGGGACATAGCCAAGACACCTGACCAAACTGACCAAAGGGCTATTCCATACCATATGACGTCAGCTCAGATATAAAAGCTACGGGAAAGGAGGAGGAAGGGGGGGAATTTGTTTTTTATGACATTTGTCTTCCAGAGCAACCGCTACACGTACTGCAGCCCTGCTTCCTGGGAAGTGGCTGGACATCACCTGCTAATGGGAAGTAGAGAATAAAATCTTTGTTTTCCTTTTGCTACCATGCTCTGCCTTTACTTCTGCCTTTATTAAACTGCCTTTATCTTCACTGAGCGATAGAACAGCTTGGTGGCACCTGATGTCCAGCAAAGGTCAACCCATCACACCTCTGTTGTTGCCAGGGTCAGGACAAAAGCAAGAGCAAGGAGAAAATGCTCTTGAAACTAAAATTTAAAAACACAGAGGGCAGTAGGCAGATAGCCTTACCAGTGACAAAGGCAAGCCCAGACATTCAGCTGGGATTTCTAAACCACCTTTGCAAGAGGCAGGAAAAACCGACTGGATAGAGCATGTCATCCGTGGAGCTGATGCCAGAACACCCTGTTGTGCCTGGCTGATTACTGAGCGATTAAAGCTTGATGGGGGGAATCTCCTTCCATCTGCTGCATGGACCACTGCCTCACTGCAAGGGAACTGCAATTTCTCCTTTGTGTTGCTGCACCCACTCTGGAGACTCCCTGAGCTACAGCTAGGACACGGTTCACAAACACACAAGGGTCAAAAGTCCCAAGCTGACGTCCTGTAACTGGACCAGGCTGAGGTGCTGCTGCTTGCTACGAATTTCCAGTGTTTCTTAAAATGAGGTGGTAGTGAAAGTGTGGTGATTTGTGGGAAGAGCGCGGTCCCCTGTTCCCTGCTATTGGTGCTGCGTAAACCTGAGCTCTCTTTCTTCAGACTGCCAGGAAATAGATACAAATGTATTTATAAGATTTCACTTTTGCAGCATAGCACTAAAAATAGCACAATGCATCATTCATAGTACAGGGCTCTCTATTCTCTTATCCCACTGCTGAAGAAAGAAAGGCATAATGTTATCAACTGTCCTCCTCCCCTCTTCCAATAAAGCAAGTTTCAGCTACCGGAGTTACTATCAAGGTTAAAATACCCTTTGTTTTACAACATGTTCACTGCCTACGGGGACTGTCATTGCCCAAAGGGAGCATAATGTTCAAGTCTCATTGAAATATCGTAAGTAATATCAATAATAAGGAAAACAGAATTCATTAACAAATTCACTGCCCGTAGCTATGTACTCATGATATATGGGAGTGCTGTTCAGAGCATCAATTCAGCAATACTTTAAGTCAGTGCTCCTTTGACCCACACTGATGAAGATGGACAGACAGGTTAGACAAGATTATGCCTCCAAGCGTCATAAAAATGTAGAAGTTTCCCAACTGCAAACTGATTTTTCAAAGACAATTACCTGCACAATTTAACCGGACAGCCATTTATGCCTTCCAGGTTTCATATTGTTAATGTTTGTCTCCTCTTGGATTTTTGCTGTTTCTCCTACTCTCACTCTTTTTTTTTTTTTTTTTGCCTCTGATACACACATTATAAAAACACTCTCACACTTTCTTGTCCTATGTGATTTATTCTCAAGAAATTAAATTACATTTTTATAAGCCTGTGTTACTGCAAATGATAGCGGAAGATTTGCTGAAAAAATTAATTCCTGATCTGTTGCCGTGAAGCGTCCTCGCTAGCACTGTACTGACTCTGTCTTTCAAAACCAGATGGAAGCAGTCCAACGGTATGATTAACTTCTTAGTCCCTGCAATTTCCTACTGCTCTACTTGCCCTAGATTTCAGGATTGACCTCCTGCTTCACTGCAAAATGCACAGTTGCTCAGTTTGATAAATCACATGAATACTTTTTTGATCACAGTTATCTACTATTTACTACATACCCAGTGAGGTTAATCATATGCTGAGGCACTTCATATGCTGCACACATATACACTCTTCTTCCCAATAGCACTTTGCATATTCTTCATGCTGCCAAGCCAGCAAGGGGACCTGCTTTCTTCTTACGAACATGTGAAAGACCCCAGACTTGCACCTTGTCTCTTTTGTCCCCCACATTAATTCTGTAATTATCCATACACAGATTCTTAAATAACTTAGCAAGCCAAAGAAAATACACGAGAAATTACTAGTCAGACCTAGAACGAATCATCTTCCCTCAGGTATCTTTAGGGACCTATTGAGAATGCATGGGGTTGCCCATAGGGAGGTGGGAAATGTTTGGCTGTCATGACAGCAAAACGCTATCACTTCCTTGAAGAAAAAACACATCTTAACTTCTCTTTTTCTTTTGCTAAACACCAAAGGAATTTCAGTATTTGGTCTAGCTAGCTAGGGCTCAAAATTACTAAAATTCCCTGGGACAGCTCTGCTCCACCTTCTCACGCAGCGTTGCAATACATCCAAATCATGTCTCCGGTGCTATGGTAGAACAACTCTAAACAAACACCAGCAACAGTACAGTATGGGAAAACATCCAATAGCAAGCAGATGCGTGTTACAGATCTTGCTCACAAGTTAAATAAAGGGAAATGAAGTCCCAGTTTTACAGAGATATCCATACCTTTTCACTCCAAGCCTTCCACACAGGCTCTTCTTTTAAAGCCCCTTTTCACTAATTCACAACAGTCTCCAACACTGGAAATAGTGTCCTATATACAATACATATCATTACTCTTCCCCCTTCTACTTCTCTAACTAGGAGGGCTGAGAAACCCTAGACCGTTTCTGCCACAAAACATAGCAGCAGTCGCCCTTTGCTACCCTGTACCATGGAGGTGGGGGGCTGCAACTGTGGGACACCAGCATTTCCAAACAGCCAAGCTTTCATGTAAGACATAAATGATAAATCCATATCCCCCCCCGTCAGAGGCACTCTCTTTTTTTCTTGCAAAGATAATCCAGAAAGGTTCAGCAATGTGCTAACACTGTGAGAGCCGTGTGTTTGTTTCTGTGGCAGCTAACGCCGTGCGTGCAGACTCTTCTCCGGCCAACCTTCGCCTCCTGTGGAGCCCATGATCTCAGTTCCGTCGCTCTCTGCTGGGACCCAGATCAGCTGTCCCAAGCCAAGGCTTCCCCTCGGCTGTCACTGATTACCCAGACCTGTCACACGAAACCTTTCTGGCCAGCCAGCTAGCTGAGTCACTCCGATGATAAGGCGACCACGTAGCTTCTCCTGTGGAGAAGCTCTCACGGTGTGAAAGGCAATGTTATCGAAAAACTCAGTCCAACACAAACACATGTATGTGAGCGACACAAAGCACATGAGTCTTTTTGCTGGCTGCCACTGGATTATTTACTTACTTCAGGGTATCACACGTTTAACTGCTTTGCCTAATCACAGCTCAAGCAGATACTTGAGAACAAGAAATCTTTGGCTCTGTCCACTGAAAATTTTAAGGCTGCTTGGACAGCTGCCTTCCCTGCCCTAAGTGATCTATTAAAAGTCTAAATTGCCTCTTATTGTTGCCTTAATACTCTACAGGCAGTCCCTCCCCAGGCCTCCTAACCCAAATGGTGTATCTCAACGTGGCTTTGTCTGAAGAAGAGCCGTGCTACAGATCCCCCTGGACTAATCTTGATCCTGTGGCTGCTTACAATATCAGGGGAATGGACCAGATTGTCCAAGGTCAACCTTTTCTGTTCGATTTTCCTTGCAGCTGAGTGCTAAATGCGTGCACGCACCCGCAAGAGGCGGTGCAGCAGCACCTCTGCTTGCAGATGTCTCTCTCCCCACAGATGTGGGGCTGTGCTGCTTCACACGAGCTGCTGCTCAGCTCCTCAAACTCTTCACCGCTCCAGAGGACAAGAGGGAGCATTTCTTTGCCCTTTGGGATCTTAAGTGCAACTGGCCAGAGCCATTGGGGTAAACCAGCTCATGCTTGGAATCGCCTGCATTTCAATGTCCTAACTGTGATTGAACATGGACAGACAAGGCATGCTGACATGGAAATGCAAAGTATTGCCCCTTCTGCCCGACAGGAGGGTGGACCGAAGCTCAGACAGCCTGCATAACTCACCAACCATCATGACCGGGGCTTGTCTACGCTGCCAAAAGGATGTTAGCATTGAGACGCCTCGTCTATCCACAGCCCAAGGTGGTAAATCGAAAAGGTTTACCACAGCTCGTACTTAACAGTTCAGCTCTGGACGACACGTATATATTAAGCAGGTGCTTAGCGAGTTGGACTCTTTACAGGATTTATCAGCTGGGATGGGCAGGCTTGCCAGCACCGCTGGGCTGAGAGGGCTCATCTCTCCCCCTGCCCCGCACGCCTGCGCTGAGGTTTGCGTGGGCAGAGCTAGCGGGGTCGCCTGCATCCTCCAGCCTAAGTACAGCGAGGGTGCCACAGACTGCACCTGTGAATTAAGCACGTCTCAGAGGTACCACCTGAGCCCTGCAGCAAATGAGTTGTCTTTCCCCTATGACAACACGAGAGAAAATTCAGCGGTGGTACAACACTTGCCCCTAAGCATTCAAAACTCTTAGGCAGACCCACTTGGCCTACACTACAGCACAGAGAAATAAAAGCAGCCAGGGGAATAAAAGTGCCCTAGGACCACTGTAAATCTTTACTTCATGGAAAATCTTATCTTGCACATGAATATGAGCTGCGAGTAAATTTAATGTGTGGATTAAGTGCTGTGCGGTCTCCCTCATGGTGGGCTTTTCAGCCTAAAAAGAACAAAAGAATAATAATGAGTGTTGCATTTGGGTATGATTACAAACAGCTGTAATTTACAGCTGGACATTCCCCATTGCAAATGTAACCTGCAAGCAAGTGCTTCTGGGTTAGTGGAACAGACTGCAAAAAATTAGCTTTTAACTTCAGCCTTAAGGTCAAAGTTCTGTGACCATGGGAGTCAATAATAAAATCTATTTAGCTCAGTGGGATTAAGCAGGTTTAAGACCTGGCTTAACCGCACTGCTTACTGTTAAATAACAACAGAACACAATGAATACTTTAGTTACAGACATTTTTCTTCATCTGAAAGCCATTCAGGCAGTGGATATGAGAGTCAGACAACTGAAGATATGCTGGCGCTATACCATTAAGGTATATGAGTTAAGTTCTTGCTCTTCTCTGTCCCAGAAACTGAGCAATCTGTATAGTTAGACCACTTTACTGAAGAGCACAATAAAATTAAAACCAAGCTGTGCTGTATAAACACCAAGGGTTTTTCATGAGAGAATGAAAAGCTAATGGGGCCAGTGCATCTTTCCTGACAAAATAGTCGGTGCATGTGCAGAGCAACCTGTCTTCTGGAAGCAGAAAAGCTGTTTCAGTCAAGCTTCTGGGTCACTAATCTTTGTGTTTGCACATAAATCTGCTGGGGGTTACTGTGTCATTCTGAAAACAAGACTGAGTGCAATACACTAAAGAAATCAATGGCTACAGGTTTAAAAACTCTCCTTTTTTTTTTCCCTCTTTCAGTTTAGCTAACTCTTACATTTTTAACAGAACCTGAAAGCGAAAACTGGAACAGGAACTGCTGGAGAATATTCTTCCAAAAATATAATAGGTGACATAAATAGGTGAAAATATAATAGGTGAAATTAAGCTTTATTTAAGCTGCCATCTCCCTTGGTGCTGGGAAGTGCTGGTGTGTGACCGGGAGCTCTTAGTTGCTACTGGGACACAAGTAATGAGCAGCAACATCACAGGCATCCTCACTTTAGCCAAGGCCAGGCAGAAACTGCTGTCACAGTGGGGGGTTTTTGGCCCTCTGCCCTCCTGTTCACTCCCTGTAAGGAGGCAGGGAGGCACCCCCATGGGGTGCAGCCGCAGCCTTCCCAGCACCCCCTCTGGAGGGAGGGGAGGAGGGTGCCCGGATGGCCAAATGTTTGCCGAGCAGGTGGGAAAGCTGTAGTCTCCAGGCATGCTTTTAGGCGCAGAGGGGGCAATATTTGATCATAAATACTAAATCTGAGGTGTGATGGGCAACATTTCAGCCCTTTTGCCCTGAGGACGAGGGCAGCCTGCGCCCAGCTCCCTCACCAGCCCTGGTGAGGTGGGGACCATCCTATCCATCACTGCTGCTTTTCTGTCTAGGGGAGACAGAAAGCACAGTGAGGGGTTTGGGGCTTGTTAACTACCTCCAGGGGCACTTCTGCAGGCATGTTCCTCATTCAGCCTGGGGGAAGGATGCTCAGGAAAAAAAAAAAAACAACCCACGTTTTCTTTGGTCACAGTATTGCTCCCACCAAGTGCAAAAGCTGCTCTGCCTCGGGGGCAAGGCTGCACACATCTCCAGGGAGAGGGGCACAAGGGTGACTCTGACTCCTCTTTCTTTTTGCATTCGTCCCAGCTACAGCAAATACTTCTGTGCCCTACAACTGCGCCAGTGATTTCACCCGCATCCCATACATTTCACTTGGGGATTTTTGTTTCCTTGGGAGGGGGAGAATTCTAAACAAAATGGTGTTTGTAAACTTGGGGGGGGGGAAAGGTCGATAATTTTGGCGGTCTTAGCCTCCAAGCAGAGAGAAATGTTATTCATCCATGCACAACATATAATTCAGCCTAAGTGACAGGCTCTGCTCTGGAGAAATCCTGGCCTGAGCTGGTTTCCAGAGTCAATTACTGCTTATTCCCAGGGAGGCGGGGGGCGGGGGGCCAGACGGAGCAGAGGGGGCTGCCAACAAGGCATGGGGAAATTTACTCTGTGTCAGCCTGCATGACACAGTACCTCATTTGTGGATAAATGTAAATCTGCTAGTTCTTTTTCACAGGCACTAAAATGTACAGTCTCTCCTCCCCCTTCCCTCCCCCTGTTCCCAAAACTGGAAAAGAAATCAGGACCGTCTTAGAAAGCTACCTTATATTTCAATCAATCCTCTTTCATACAAGTCATTTAAGGTAAATACCTGTGCAGACCTACAGCCCAACTATAACATTTACTATGGCCCAAATCCTGAATTCCTCACTCGGGCAAGTTTCCCATCCAAGTCAATGGATTTTTTTGCTTGAAAAAGAGCTGAGTAAAACCTGAACACTGTCTAAGGATTTGGTCCCCTGCTTATCTGCCTGGAGCACTGCTGCAGTTCCAGAAGAAGTGAAAAAACAAATTAAATTCCTCCAAAACACCAATCCCTCAAAACTTAAGGGGTAAAAAAGGGCATTGTTTTTGTGCATAAAACAACGGAGAATCTCATCAAAAGAAGAATAATTCCCAGGGAAAGGATTTGGAAAAAGTCAAAAGAGAACATCTCGGAATAAATGAAGTACTTATTGCTGAAAAATGAGCTCAGATATATCTCAGCAAACTCTAAAGCTCAGAATTTACTGCATCATTCATGCCTTCTCCAGTAAGTTTCTTATCTCTCGTTTGGTATCACAACAAGGGATTCTGCATACTCTGTATGAAATACAAGACGACTGTGATTTTTGCAGTAATAAACTCCACACATGCATGACAAATCCAAGCATGCAAAATGTTTAACATCCCAGTTCACAGATACTTTGGGGACAAAATCCGATTATGAGTTATATGCCACAATAAATAGGGCTCAACGTTTCATAAAGCAATTTATAGTTCATAAAAATGACAAAATGTACCTGTCAGACAGAACGCGGAGAGCAGATCTCTGTGCTGCCTGCTGGAAGAAAGGGCAGAGATGTTTATTTTATATTCTGACTTGAAAATTACGAGCACAATCAACACTTTAAAAAATGCGTTACACACATTTTTGTCACGTGTCCAAAATGTTAAAGTACGAGCAAAGTAGCAGAGAGTCTATAGTCAAATGGACATTCCAGCCTACTAAATGTAAGAACACTTTGTTAAGTACGCCATAAACCAGAAGATTGTCAAAGCACCGCACGGTATTTGAGGTCTGAATTACTCTACTTAGATGATTTTTTCTGCGGGTCCCTGAAAACTCGGCAGGGCTCGGTTCTCTGCCTTCCCCTCTCCCCGCTTCCGCACTCCCACTCCCTCTCCTTTACCATTAGTCTCCTCCCATTCTTCCACAGAAACAAACATCACATATTTGGTTCCTTTTGCGACGAAGCCTGTAGCTATAATTATAAATTTTGCAAAGCTTGCCAGAGCTGCTGCAGACTTTTCACGAGCGCTGCCATGTTAATCTGCTGGCAACTTTTGACTACACAGTACAGGATTGACCTGTTGCTGGTCTGCGCCTCAGTTTTTGCCTAGTACAACTGTTTGGATGGGGTGGGGAAGCATGGTGCTTGTTCTGTGTTAACCAGCGGTTCTGGGAATAGAAATCGTAGCCTCTCAAGTTTAATAGGACTCCCAAGCCTATCCCTGAGCTAGTCTGCCACTTTATTATTATTATTCTTTCCCCTCCTTCAATCACTTCAAGTGGTGCGATTCGTGGCTTCGGCACAGTAACCAGCTGCTAAGCAAAGATGAAATCCGTAATGTTTTGAAAACCTACTTTAAAGCCTCCGTTCTGCCTGGAGCTGCCCAGAGCGTCCCCTTCCCAGCCGTACCTGTCCAGGCTGTGCCTCACCTGGCACAGAAGGGACACAAAGCTAAGCAATATGGAAAGTCAAGGGGTAGGGAATTAAACATTTATTTTCTCTTTGCAGTTATCAATAAATATGTTTTTGAAACCATTCTTCCCAGCTTCTCAGGCTGCATCCCTATCCCTGAGCAAGCCGCATGGCTTGCAGGCATCCTGCTCGGCACCGGCGAGCATGGAGGTAACCTTTCTGGCTAGTCAAAATGCTGCTGACAGGCTGCAAAGAACAACTTGATAAAAACCTGACTTGCAGTTGCAGTTACGGAGCATTTCACAGAAAGGCGTGAGAAGATCCCCAGAGTGGATCCCTGCAGGTCTGAGAGGAGTGCAGAAATGCTTGGGGAACAGTTTTCTACTTGATTTTGGAAGCAGGATTTTTGCTCAGGGAACTTTCTGGAATAACTTGGGCTTCCAGGGTTCACCAGGGAGAAGTAGTTTATTGTATATCACATACCAAATTGTCAGGAGAACCAGGGCTATGCCGCACCCCCTATGGCTGGCATGGCTCGCAGGAGGGGTTTTTCCTTAGCATGGACTTTCTGCAGTGGGAGTGTGCCCACGGCATGAACACACTGGTTTCAGTGTTAGGAAAATAATATGGGGAGTCTGCTATTTTTCACTGCCTCCAGTAGGTCATCCTATTTGCATGCCCTTTGGATAGTTCACGCCATCCAGGCCACCGGGTACAGGGCAGGCCTTAATGGGGGCAGCCACTCTCTGGGTCAGCAGGCAGGCGGCATTTTTACTCTCTCCTCTGCACGGGACTCGTTATGACAATTTCATCCTGCTTCTTGTACACAAATGCAGGAGAGACCCAAAACATAGGTCTTCTGGCTTAATCTCTTCTTTAATGCCGTGGGGCAATGCAAGTTCATCTCCTCCCACATCTGACCACTGTCACTAGCAGGAAGCTATGTCCACTATGAGTTTCGAGCTGCCCAGCTTCGATGCTGACCCCTGCACTGTGTTACGCCTTTGCTTGCAAAACTCAGGAGCTTCCTCTCACTATCAGAGCCCTTTTCCATGACCAAGCTGTGTAGATACCATTCAGGTCACCTCTCCTTCTTCTCTCCGGCCAGCAGCCAGGGCTAGTCCTTCCCTCACAAGCAGCCACTACGTGGCAGTGCTGTTTCAGCCGCTTTTAATGTTTCCCACTCTTGGCTCAGGCTGCCACAGGTGCTCATATGGGTTGTGCAACGCAACAGGTTGGAAAACTGATCCAGCTGAAAAATAACACTTTTCCATCTATTTTTTTTTCTTTTCTCCCCAGGTTATTTGCAAACTGGATCTCTTCTCTGAGCTGCTTCCCCAGGGAGAGGGCGTCACATGTCAGGGTGGGGTGTGAGAATGGGAACGGGGCTGGGGAGGCAGCGTGCAGTGGGGACCCTCGCTGCTGAGGCAAGGATGTGTCTACCGGGGAGGTTGCTTTTACCCAAGATGGCTCTGGCTCCCTTCTGGGGAGTTGCAGAGCACTCCTGGGGCAAGGCACATGGTGGCTGCAAGAGCCAGAGGGCACTGAGGGAGGCAGGCCGCTCTGCAGCCACGGGCCTCGTGTCCCTTATAGAGACCCCAAGAAAGCAAACGTGGACTTGGTGACACCCAAAACCCCTAAGATGGGGATGTGGGGTGCATACCACTCTTGTATTTCCCCAAAATCCCTCATTTTGAGAGAGGGAGAAGAGCTGGATACTTTCTCTTCCAGTCTTGATGAAAGCTGCCCTCAGGAGGGAAGAGGAGAGGATTCTCCTCAGGGCTAACCAAGCCAGGCCCATGTGGCGTGGGACTACGGCCTCCAGTGCCAATCTTCAGTTTCCATCTTGGTACATCCAGTTATTGGCAGCTTTGAAAAGGTGATCCATTCCGGGGAAGAAAGTGGGTTCCGATGCCAGGCAGGGCAGCAGAGAGAAATGTACAAGTGCTTTTCAGTGAGATCATTCTACTTTTTCAACTAGCTTCTCATTTTAAGTCCTTTAACAAATATCCTTCTTCACCAGGATGCAATGCAGATTGCATGGGGCACCTCACTCTTTGCCTGGTGGTTGCATATTCTAATAAATGAGACTATTGATTTCTTTCTTACGTGGTTTGAAAATACAACCATGTTTGATTGCATATTTGTGTGACCCCCTGAGTTGGTAATGGCTCCATTTCTAAATGATGGGGGAATAAGATCCAGTCGCAAGTTTATTCTTCCTCCCTGGAGAAACAGATCTATTGCCTGCAATGAAAGGCAGTTAGCAACTATCCAGCAATTTTAATTCTAGCCTATATTGCTCCCCTCTCCTGGAGAAAGTGAGCTGTTGTAATTAAGAGTAGTTAGCGGTTCCCTAGCAAGTATAAATACTTGCAGCCCCTAATTACAGTCTGCTCTCTTGTTCCCCTGCTAGAGGATTGGGCTGCTCAACTTAGGGGGAAATAGCTGCCCTTGCTTCTCGCTAACAGTTTTTTTGTGACCCCATTCAAAATCATTCATGAATCCCCATGGAGGGTCATGACCCATAGTTTGAGAAACTCCCGGCTAGAGAAACAGCTTTCTGTGATTTATTATGTTTCTAATATGCTGGTATTATCTATGTAACAATGTAAGCAAAAGGGTGGTACTTAGTATCATATACTGCCTGCATGACTATTTTTTTTAATAGCTTGATTTTGATTGTGCTATTTAATTTGCATTTTATTTTACATCATTAACAACTTTACTGAGGCCAACTCATCATCCATCAAGAAAGATGAGAATATGTTCTACAGCCTTTATTATTCCTGGAAGTAAGTGACTATGCTGGTTATAGAAATCAGGGATAAGAAACAATTTTGAAGTTTGATAGTGCTGACAGAATGTAAAGATCTCCAAGACTTACCACTAAAAAATGCTTTATGGGAAGCTTAATATTCTCTTGATAAGTGATTGAGTTAGACTTCAGTGTGTTTGCCAGTAATGAGTATAATCCTGAATTTTCAGTTCTTGGAGTCAGTGGGGTTACTGATGGATGAAGGTTCTCCTCAACATGAACACGGATATTGGAGGCCAACCACCACGTAATAACTTTAATGCCGAGTTGGAAGCAGGGAAGGGAAAAAAAATAATCACTTATGTGACTCAGGTACTTGGGCTTGAGAAACCAGCCACAGTAAATGAGATGAATTACTCCTTTTCACTACATCAAGAGTTGTAAATTACAGGAATCTGGCTGGTTAGACTTCTTCATCCCCCACCTGAGTTGGTTATAGACACATTTAGGGCAGAGTTTCATTGATCTGCCTATAGTTCATTAATCATTCACGAAAGATTCTAGCTGTACCCCAAGACTAGTGGGACAAAACAAGTTTTCAGCCAGCAGTAATCATGTTCAGGTTCTCAGTCTCCAGAGATTGCATCTCCTTTCTCCATCCTTTATTGCAAAGAGCCAGAGCTTGGGAACATAATCAGCAGATATTCAGGTTTCAGTGTGTGTTAAATGAGCTACCAAGATTACTTGAAGTGTCACAAGTTGCAATCTGTTGTTGAAGGGAAATCAAAGAGGAAATTAAATACTTACATTGTAATTGGGACTGAGCAGCGAGCTAGCTCATTGTAATTGGGACTGAGCAGTAAGCAGAACGGGTTGAATACAGCTATTGAGCTGGAGATACAGGAGTGTTAAGAGTGGTCCCCAGAAATCCCTCCTCCCCCCCCACCCCCCCTTTTCTTTTTAATCTGGTTGGAGCAGAATTGCTTCATAAACTGCTGGGCTTGCACGCATTTTTGGGTAAGAAGCAAATGAGAACTACTGCAGAATGTTCTGCTGGACTTGGAAGAGCATCTTGGAGGCACTGCAGGCTGACTGTGGATATGTTTTCCTATACCTCACCCACGGCACACTTTGGCAAATAAAAGCCAATAAATTGACCGTTGGCAGATTCAGACATTTTGTTTTCCATTTTTCCTATCCTGTGGATTAATCACTGTTATCGCGAGAGAGCTCAGTTACAGCAATTGTATGGAGTTACATCAGTTATGCCAGAGACTTCACTGAGATGGTGCAGGTGCACACAAGGTGAGAATTTGAACCATTTCTTCGGTGACAGCGTAACTATAGGTACTACCTGTGCATGAGTAAATTGCATTGCTT